CAGCTTATTTGCTAAACACTATATTTATTTATTTTTGTCCATACGCGTGAATTTTATAAAGATCTTATTAAAGAAAAATATTCGATATCCGGCAGGATTTTAATCTGTCTTTCCCTGGGCATAATAAATAAACGGGGCGTCTACTCAAGTACGAGTATCCACCAAAAATAACGTTTAAACCATAAAAAAATATGTCGGATTAATATAAATCCATTTCTTTCATTAGATAATTCGGTTTGTTTAAGTTTATATATTTATATATATATATAGAGAGAGAGAGAGATAGAGAGACAGACAGACAGACAGACAGTTTTCATCATCAATTTAACAGCTGATCATCGGGCATTTAATTCATTTTAATGCGGATTTTTAAAAAAATATTGTTTTTATGCCACAAGTTTATATATGCATTCTGTTTGGAATTGAACAACTTGGCGTCCTATTCCGTTCTCCACTGCACGCCATCCCATACAACTTAACCTTGTACAATCAAGGAACAATATCGTAATTGTCAGGGATAATACGCTTATTAATCCTTTGAAAATGCATTACACCACTACCTAGCTAGAAATATCTACACTTTTTATTAATTTGCGCTGGAAAAAGAAACGAAACAGATAAGCAAAGAAAGAAAGAATGACTATAAGCAGAAGATAAGAAAAGAGAAAGAGGACCTTTTAAAATTCGCGCACAGAAAGATATATGACTAAATATTAGAACAAAAAGAAAAAAAGGACAATGTGTAAAATTTAAATTACAGAAATACGTAAGTGATGTGGGGCCAAAGTCGGGACCACAGAAGGAAAACACGGATTAGATGTAAGAAAGATATATTAACAACAGGTTACAGAGATAGTGTAAGCGGAGCTTACTATACGTTAGTGTTCAATACTGGTAGTCGTACGCGGCTCTCTCTGTCTCTCTATCTCTCTGTGTAGAGTGTTGTGTCGCATACTAAATATAGACCTGGAAGAGTCTATTGCGTAGGTAGTTCCGGTCTCACAATACCCCCCTTCCAAGAATTTTCTTTTTGAAAAGGAGAGAAAAAATTAATACTTTTTCCTCTTGGGATTTACGTCGAGCGGTTGAGTAAATTTCCTTTTCCTTCCTGAGCGTCGCACTTCAGGAGAGATTTGGGGCGTGTCGAGATCGAAGTGATCGGAAAGTACGTCGATCGGCTCTTCACAGTTATTTTGTAGTGATTCCTCAGAATCCTTCAAACGGCATTTTCTGAGCTGGGTCCAATGGCGTTTGTGAGTGTTTTTTGGTTCTTGGACAATATAGACCAGTTCGACAATTCTTTGTTTTATGGTGCCTACTTCTCAGAATGTTATATTGTTTTTGTAAGCCTTGAAAAAGACTTTATCGCCAGGATTGAAATATTTCTTATGAGGCGATACGGTTTTTTTTTTTAACTTTGCTTGGCGTGGAATAAGATTGTCGAAGGCAGACTTGATTTTCCTTGCGAACATTGTTTCTGCAGGCGAGCTTCCCATAGGCGTGTTCGGATTGGGGGTTATCCGATACACCTGCAGAAACTGTTGCAATGCTCTATCTGTCGGTGTGCCTAGTGCCTTCTTTAAAGCCCTTTTTAGAGTGTCCACGAACCTTTCGGCCTGGCCATTTGACTTAGGGTGGTACTGAGGCGTTGTAATGTGGTCGACCTGATATGACTTGCAGAAATCTCTAAATTCACTTGATGTGAATTGAGTGTCATTATCTGTAACTACACAATCTACCACGCCAAAACGCGCGAATAGCTCGTGTAGAAATCCGATCGTGCAGTTTGTGGTTGGTCTTTTGCATTGTAGGATCTCTGGCCATTTTGAGTGGCTATCCACAACAATGGGGTACTACATGTTGTCTATAGGCCCTGCAAAATCGATATGAATTCTTTGCCATGGATGGTCTGTCTTTGGCCATGGTTTGCACGTCGTGGTTGGAGCTTTTGTTGCAAGCGCGCATCCTTTGCATGATTCTATCATGTCCACTATGTCCTTGTCCATGTTTGGCCAATAAACATAGCAGCCCATGAGGCTTTTCGTACGGTTCTTCCCCGGATGTCCCATGTGAAAATCCCTGAGGATTTTTCTTTGTGGGCTGTTTGGAATCACTACGCAGTCATTGTATAGTAGGACATCATCGCAGAGGGAGAAAACTTCAGGCACACTGGGTCTTTATTGCGAATTTTGCTTTTTATGGATTGAATGAATTCATCCTCTCGAGACTCCCTTTTTATGTCGCCCAAAATAACTGGGAGTTCTCTTATGGTACTCGCGATCATGTTTTTGATTTCACAATTTGTCCTTAGAGTGGCAATGATGGAGTCTTCAAAGACTTCAGTATTTTTTGGAATGAGTCGCGATAAACTGTCTGCATGGCAAATATTTTTGGATGTTAGGAACTCTATCTTGAAATTATAGTTTAAGAGAATTGTACCCCAACGAAGTAGTCTATTTGCAGTATGGACTGGCAGACCTTTTTTAGAACCAAAAATTGTAATTAGAGGTTTATGGTCCGTCTGCAGTATGAACCGTCTACCATGTAGATATCTGTGAAACTTTGTCAAAGCGAATATTAACCCTAGAGCCTCTTTCTCTATTCGGGAATATTGTTTCTCAGCTGGAAGTAGAGATCTTGATGCGTGAGCCACAGATTTTCGCGAACCATCTGGCAGTTTATGCAGAATGCAAGCACCAGTGCCGTACGTGCTTGCATCACTTGCGACTATGATGTCGAGACTAGGTTCGTAATGGGTGAGGGAGAGGTCTGAAGTAAGAGTTTTCTTGATCTTCTCGAATGCGTCTTGGCATTCCGGGGTCCATGACCATGGTTTGTCCTTTTTTAAAAGTAGGTTGAGAGGCCCTCTCAAATTTTGCATGTTCTTAATGAACCCTTGGTAAAAATTAGCTAGTCCGAGGAAGCTTTGCAACGCTTGAACGTTATCTGGGGCCGGCATGTTTCTGATCGCGTTAGCTCTTTCTGGATCCGGCCGACGACCATCTTTATTTATAATGTGACCTAAGTATTTAATCTCTGGGAAGAAAAAGTCAGACTTTTCTTCCTTAACCTTAAATCCGTATTCTTGTATCTTTTCGAATACGTTTATTATATGGTTCCGGTGCTCTGCCGTAGTTTTACTAGTAACCAGTATATCATCCAAATATGCTGTTGCGTAGTCAAGATCGTCCAGCATGGCGTCCATAAACTGCTGGAAAATTGCAGGCGCAACCTTTACTCCAAACGCCAGCCTGTTGTATTTGTACAACCCTCTATGGGTGTTTATGCAGAGCAATTTGGAACTTTCTTCTTCCACCTCTATCTGAAGGTATGCGTCCGAGAGGTCGATTTTTGAAAAAAATTTTCCACCATTGAGTTTATTGAAAATTTCCTCAGGGCTTGGGAGAGGATAGTGGTGATCTTGCAAGGCATCGTTTAACCCTGTGGAAAAATCTGCGCATACTTGTATTTGGTTGGACTTCTTTTTTACGTAGACCGTAGGTGCTGCCCATTCGCTGAAATCTGTTTTAGACAGAATACCTTTTGTTCGAGTCTATCTAACTCTCTGTTGATTTGCTCTAGAGCAGCGAAAGGGACATTCCGTTTCTTTTTGAATACCGGTTGTGCACCGTCCTTCACCTTGAACTTGGCTTTCATTTTAGTAGATTTCCCAAGGCCGCCAGAAAAAACCTGGGGAAATTGTTCTTTGAGTTCCTTTTTTAGATTTACCAAATTGGGCGTTGTACTTTGTATCTTGCGACAAAATGTACTCATTGGGCAATCCCAAAGACTGAATTTTTCTACTCAATCTGTTCCAAATAAGTTATCTGAAGTTTTCAATATGTAGGCTTTGAGCTTTTTGGTAACTCCATTTAATGTTACTGTAAGTATTACCTCGCTTAAAATGTTAATCTTTTCGCCAGTTACGGATTTTGCTGTTTTATCCGTTTTTGATAAGGTCGGCTTGTTTAATTTTCGCCAAGTACGCAAGTTAATGGTTGAAAGATCAGAACCCGAGTTAAGCTGGAATTTAATGGAATTATTGAAAATATCCACTGTTACATATTTTCTTAAATTCCTATCGACAATATTGTCAGAGTGAGCTTGCCTAATTTTATTTTTGGGCTTTCTCGTTCTGTTGACGTACCAGCACGAAGTTAAAATATGCCCACTTTTATTGCAATTTTTGCAATACTTTTTGTTCTTAACTGGACAGAATTTTATCCAATGCCATTTACCACAATGGTAACATGGTCCAGCGGTTGCTTTAACCTATTTGCGTTTTGGTTACTGCGGAATTTAGGACATGAGATTTGC